TCGGCAATCTCGCATCCTCGCGACCAAGACTATTTAAGCTTATAGGTAAGGCAAGGTAAAGGCTAACCTGTTCATAAAAGAGAGCGAGAAGAGAAGGCAAAGCACGAACGAAGAACTATGATCAAGAAGTGATCCTATAACAACCTACGTCAAGCATTACTCCAACACCGTGTTCACTTTTCGAACTCCGCCGAGAAGAGACCATCACGGTTACACACGCGGTAGATTCATTTTAAATAAGTTAAGTTTCATGTTATCTACAACCGGACATTAACAAATTTCCATCTGCCCATAACAGCGGGCACGGCTTTCGAAAGTTCAAATCCCTGCAGGGGAGTCCCAACTTAGCCCATCACAAGCTCTCATGGTCAACGAAGGATATTCCTTCTTCCGAGACATTCCGATCAGACTCGGCATCTCGGTTTTACAAGACACCCTTGACAATGGTAAAACAAGTCCAGCAACACCGCCCGAATGTGCCTACAAATCCCGATAGGTGCTGCATATATCTCGTTCTCAGGGCACACTCAGATGAGACATCCTACGAGTAAAACCAACCCTCAAGTTGCCCTGAGGTGGCCCCGCAGTCTACTCGGTCGGACCAACACTCAGAGGAGCACTGGCCCAGGGGGGTTTAAATAAAGATGACCCTCGGGCTCCGGAAACCCAAGGGAAAAAGAGGCTAGGTGGCAAATGGTAAAACCAAGGTTGGGCATTGCTGGAGGAGTTTTATTCAAGGCGAACTGTCAAGGGGTTCCCATTATCACCCAACCGCGTAAGGAACGCAAAATCCGGGAACATAACACCGATATGACGGAAACTAGGGCGGCAAGAGTGGAACAAAACACTAGGCAAAAGGCCGAGCCTTCCAGCCTTTACCAAGTATATAGGTGCATTAAGATAAACAAGATAATATGGTGATATCCCAACAATAAACAATGTTCCAACAAGGAACGATCTCCAATCTTCACCTGCAACTAGCAACGCTATAAGAGGGGCTGAGCAAAGCGGTAACTTAGCCAATCAACGGTTTGCTAGGACATGGTGGGTTAGGGATTTGACATGGCAATATGGGAGGCATGATAAGGAAGTGGTAGGTATCGTAGCATAGGCATAGCAAAAGAGCGAGCATCTAGCAAGCAAAGATAGAAGTGATTTCGAGGGTATGATCATCTTGCCTGCAAAGTTGTCAGAGTTGACTTGATCCTCGTAAGAAAACTCAACGGGCTCCTCGTTCATGAACTCGTCTCCCGGCTCTACCCAAACAAGACAACCAAGCAAAAGGAACACAATCAACCACGTGCAATGCTCAAACAAATATGATGCAACCATGGTATGCTATGCGGGATGCGGTATGTGATGCATATGCAAGATTTGATAAGGAATGATTGAACCTGGCCTCAACTTGGAAATCCAAGAGTGCCACTGGAAAGGTGAGGTGATTTCGGTTGAAATCGATATAAAGATCACCAGAATCGGATGCACGGTTTGGAAATGGCAAGCAAAACAAATATGGCACCGGTCTGTGATAATCAGCAAGTAGCCATCTAAATGCATCAAGATAAATATGCTACAGCACTCAAACATGACAACAAAATACATGGCAGGGATCCACTCATGATGCTTGACAAAAGATGAACACTGAGCTACGGTTAATTCATCCATTAACAGGTTCAAACAAGCATGGCAAAAGTGCAAATGATAACAGGTTTCAGACTTAGTGAAATTAACACAAGTCTGGAATTTAACATCAGGTAGCACACTTTGGAGCATGAAAACTATATGCTACAGGAACTTAACATGCCAAAGCAAGGCATGACATGAAGCTACTCAAAGCATTTAACAGAAGTCCCATAGTGACCTTGAGCCAAAAGGGATCAGAAAATACAATTGCAAGCATGTGAACATGACAAAAACATAATTAGATTACAGACTGGAGCATGCAAATCTGTTAACGAGTAGGCATGTTTACGAGCTCGATGCACTCACTACTGAGCATTTCATGACAAACTAAGTATACACCCATCAAGAATACATGGCATAGAAGCTAGATATAGCAAGAAAAACAACATAGCATGCACGGATCAATAGCAACATCCTCGGCAAAATCGCTAACAAGTCAACAATCTGCCAGGATTCACGAAATAGCAAAAGTAGAGCTCGATTGACTCAATCTAGGGTGCTTCATAAATGCAAACAAAGACATGGATGGATAGAGCACCACAATGTTAACAAATCATCCTTACTGATCATCCTTAAAAGAGGCACGGATCACTAGGAAACGACATGAACATATGGCATAATGACAAAATCAGGACAAGGACTTAGAGAAATTCTAAGTCCCTGAAATCAGCATTACCGATTGCACTACTTTGCAAGCTTGTACTAGTCACTACACATATCACAAAAATACATGGTAAGCACCTCTGAAAAGATGGTATGGCATATAAAAAAACACATGTAGAGCTCAGGAGCATATCATGCACACATTAATCATGGCAAAAATGACAAATATCTATTTGATGAAACAGATCTGACAATTTAACCACATAGCCCTCTTCCAACAGCATTTCGGGCATCAAGATGAGCTCAAAAGGAAATGATGCAATGAGATGAAATGATGTACTCTCTGAGACGAACATTTTGATATGCTACACGCGCAAATTGGAGCTATGGATGCGGAGTTACGGCATGCGGAAAAATGATAAAAATACTAAAGCGGAGGCAAAAGTCAACCCGATCCAGATCTCAAATCTAGGGTTCCTGTAGCTGCGCGGAACCCGAGGATGGCCAGAATCGTCGAGGTCGCCGGAGTGGCTCGCCGGAACAGGGACGCGGTGGAGGAAGGAGAGGCCGGAGCAGCGCGGCGGACAGTGGAGCTTGCCAGCGTCGGCGGAGGGCGGCGGCCGGCGATGGCGGCGAAGGGCGGCGCCGGGCGGAGTGCGGGCAGCGCGTGAGGGGCGCGGGCGGCGCGCCGCTTTGGGCCGGGGGGCCGGCTGCGGCCGCTGCGGTGCCACGTGGCAGCGTGTGAATGGGCGCGAGGGGCGGCGGCGACTTTGTCCGGCGGCGGCGCGAGGAATTTTAGGGTTAGGGAAAGAAGAGTCCCGGGATTTGGAATGAGGGGTCTATATATAGAGGTAGGAGGAGCTAGGAGACTCCAAATGAGGTACGGTTTTGGGCCAAATTGGAAGGGTGTTGGGCTGCAACACAAACGAGGCATTTTCGGTCCCTCGGTTAACCGTTGGAGTATCAAACGAAGTCCAAATGACACGAAACTTGACAGACGGTCTACCGGTAGTAAACCAAGGCCGCATGACAAGTCTCGGTCCAATCCAGAAATGTTTAACCCCCACACACGAAAAGAGGTAGAAAGGGGCACCGGAGGAGATAGGAGTGCCGGAATGCAAAACGGACAACGGGGAAAATGCTCGGATGCATGAGACGAACACGTATGCAAATGCAATGCACATGATGACATGATAAGAGATGCATGACAAAGGCAACAACACACGGAGACAAAACCCAAACCCGAGGAAAATAAAATAACTTAGCGCCGGAAACGGCAAGAGTTGGGATACATATAAGGTAAATTACATTCGGGGTGTTACACGGTTGGTCCTTCTAGATCAACGTCGCCCACATTTCTTGGTTGTAGATGACTTCCAAGCTGCACGCGTGGATACGACTCTCCCGTTTCACAAAACGACGCAGAACTCCTGTCGCGACAACAGTTGGCGTGCCGTCGGGATGTGCATGTTGGGTCTTTCTTTGCGGTGCTGTTTTTTTGCTCCAATATGGATAACAGAAGAATCTGAATTGTGTTCTACTCCCTCCGTAAACGATCTAAACGCTCTTATATTTCTTTACGGGAGTACTATGGTAGGAGCAACAACAGCAGTAGCGAATGGGCCCGGTGTGAGGCGTCCACTACACTACTGAGCTCAGCGGTTCAATGCTGTCATTAATTAGTGTACACCGTACAGTAGTATTAGTACGTATTTATGTTTTGAGGAGCACGTTTGTTGAACAAATCTCACGGCCAGGCCAATCATAAATCTCCTGCGCTCGACGTTCGTATTCCATGCCGTCTGCCCGTACCTTCCTTTTGTTTGTGCATGCCTCCGCGTATGTGTACAAGCAATTCTGGTAGCATGGTGTATTTTTCAGGGGAAAACCTGGGAGGACGGTTAATTCCGTAATGCAAACCAGCAAGTAAAAAAATGGAAGAGAAGACGAACATGGTTTTGAGGGTCTAAATACGGATGTATCATGTCACGTTTTAGTATTAGATACATCCATGTTTAGACAAATAAGTATAAGACAAGAATTTTGGGACGGACAGAGTAGAAAAAGAAGCCGTCTCGCGGAAGGGGATGAAAACCCCAATCACAGATCAGCCGGCCTCAAACAGTGCCCGGCCGGGCTCCATATTTTGCTAGGCTAGGAGCTGGTGGTGGTGGTGGCGGTAGCGGTAGTAGGTTCCAACCCAAAATACCAAGCAGCAACAGCAGCTCCGTCCGTCAGGGACCATCGCCTTCACCCTCCCCGCTCGATTGAAATGATAACTTGGAAATATCCCATGTTCAGAAAAAACAGGGCGCAAGCAGCCGTAAAACAATTGGTTATTATTAGGTCCAAATTTTGCCATGTTTGTTTCTTCCTCCCCTCATCGTTTCATGGCAGGAAAGGGTGAGGTGATGATGCCCATGGACACACTAATAGAAAAGCAAAAGTAAGTGGTGAGTCCCTCGGGACATCAATCTGGCACCAACCTACCATTTTTATTTGGAATATAGCTAATGCATCCTGAACAAGCCGTAAACATTTTCGGCACAGAGCAATTGGCTAGAAATAATCTCTTTGGGTACAGGCACAAAGCAAGAGTGCTTCACACAATCACAAGGATTCGAGAATTAAACTATATTCCAAATAAAAACGGTAGCCGAGTGTTACAAACAGCGGTCATCACAGGACCAAGCGTTCTGATTACTCAAGGGAAACTAAGCGTAATAATTCAAGCTGGACTTCTTCTTTGCTTGCACTTGGATAATGCCTTCGTTGAAATCTTCATGGATCACCTGCATATGCAAAAAGATAGGGTTGAGCGCAGCAGTACATTATCCCTTGTTTCTGAATACAGTTAACATGCTTCATGAGGCAAGTCACTTCAGGCAGTCAAATCAAAAAAATTGATGGTACGAGCTACCAAGACACAAAAATGCTTCAAGATATCAAAGTGCATCTTTTATACTGTATTTATATTCCACTGTGATTCTCTATTGTAAAATGTATTATTAGATCAGTGCCCGTGCGTTGCCACGGAACAACCAAATAATGAATAGAGACATTTATTGGAAGCTCATAGTATATTTTACAAAAGTGTTGCGACAAAATATCGGTATCTTCTCAGTTTTATACTCGCTCCGTTCCTAAACATTTGTCTCTCTAGACATTTCAACAAGTGACTAGATACGGAGCAAAATGAGTGAATCTACACTCTAAAATATGTCTATATACATCCGTATATGATAGTCCATTTGAAATCTCTAAAAAGACAAATACTCCTATTTAGGGACGGAGGAAGTATATACTTGATGATTGAACCTGAACAGTCTAAAAAGATTTGACGTCAAAATCTTTCAATTTCCCAATACCCAATGGCTCTCTCCCGAATACAACTTCTACGCCCAGCACCAGCAGAAATCCCCAGCCCCAAACCCGTTGCCCACGCATATCCTCACATCGGTCTAGAACCCACCAGCGCCGAGCTCCAGTAGCTGCAGCAGAGCAGTCTGGTGGCTAGCATGTCCCACAGTTACCACTCTCCTCGTAGCAAGCTATGGGTTGCAGCGTCAGGAGAGGCGAGGATTAAAAAAACGAACGCCGGTGGACAGCAATTGGAGCGTAGAGGCGGCAGGAGAACGAGGACTGTCAGGGGATGATGGGGGATTGGGCAATAGCGGCGGCGTAACAGGAAGTCCTGAGGAAGAGATGTATATTTTTCTCTCTAAAAAAAACTGAGCGTACCAGGTTGCTATCCATGCACAGGAGACTACCAGGTTCAACATCAGTCAATAGATTTTTTATTTCATCTGCTGTGTAGTAGGACCCGCAATTAAGGGTAAGAAGTTGAGCTGAGTGAACTCACCACCAACTCAAATCTTTAGAAGTAGGAAAGAAACTTCAGGCTGTTCAGTTCATGCTGAACATACAATAGACCTAATGTTGATTTATTTATAATTTCATTTTCTGATCTAACATCCTAATCGATTTTATCTGCGTTTATCAACTTCCATTATCTACCAACAAACTGATACTTCCATAAAGGCACAAATGTGGCAAAAGAATAAGAGTCAGCACAAACCTCTGTAGCGTCCCTGCGTAGAGCAAGCATGCCAGCTTCCACACAAACAGCCTTCAGCTGTGCACCGTTGAAATCATCAGTTGAACGAGCCAGCTCCTCAAAGTTGACATCAGGATGTACGTTCATCTTTCTTGAGTGAATCTACAAGATAGAACACAGAAGAAACTTCTTTGAGCACACAAAACCAAAAGGTAAGCAATTAACGCAATAAGAGTTATCAGCCTCTAACAAATTGCAAGAGACATACTTGCAAAATCCGAGCTCTTGCTTCTTCCGTCGGATGAGGGAACTCAATCTTTCTGTCCAGGCGACCAGAACGGAGTAAAGCAGGATCGAGAATATCTGCACGATTGGTTGCAGCTATCACCTGCAAGTCACATAACAACAATGTGTTAAGGAAACAGAATGAATAAAACATCTGATCAGGTATTCATCATCTCTCAAATTATGACCAACTGAAGCGAATTTGTGGCTACTCACTAATCAATCAAATAAAAATGTCTATTTTAACAAATTACTGTTTTCAAAACTAGTTAGGCCAAACCATCAGTACAAAACAAATTATCTTTACAGGTTGAGCTTGCGTGCATTCAGATTACAGAGACAAATATTAGGACATGCTGACCTTTATCCTCTCATCACTGCTAAATCCATCTAGCTGATTCAGCAACTCCAACATAGTTCGTTGCACTTCTCTGTCACCACTCACTTCACTGCAGTCAAATAGAAAAAGGAAAATACAAACAATATCAAATATATACTTCACGGTAAAAAATATCAGATCTAGTTGCAAGTAATCAATATCTTTACCCTGCATTAATAGGTTAACAACATCATCACATATGATATGTGCAGCATATGCTGAAAGTAGTTAAGATGTATTTATCTCTGGAAGTATAAAATCATGAACAGTTTCTCTTATTTTACATATGATGACATGGAAGGTTTAAGGAGTGTTCGACTTGCAGGGACACTAACTGATTTTCTTCATACAAAGATTATACCAAAATAAGTGTCTCAACTTTAATACAACCTTAATACAATAATTGTCCATTCATCAGACAATTCGCCAAATTAAAAACAAGAGTAGCGACATGACGAGGCATACTTCAACCACAATAGGTAACGAGAAACCAAGCATTTACACTGGACTAAACTATAAAAATAACAACGCCTGGTGTACAAGCGATGCATGCAAAACAAAATGCAAAATGCACCTGTCAAAACGCTTTGTTCCAATTGCATCAATCTCATCAATAAAAATGATGCAGGGGGCCTTCTCCTTTGCCAGCTCAAAGGCATCTCGGACAAGCTTTGCCCCGTCACCGATGAACATCTGAAACAATTCACAAAAATGTTAATATTTGACTGAAAGATACCCAGAAGAATTAAAAAATGCTGGACCCGGGAATATTACAGATGCAAATGGACATTCTATGTTGGAGCCAGCAATTTTAGATGCAAGTCGATATTCAAGTCATATCCTGAGCCAATGATGCTAAAGAATACTTAATCACTATCAACTACACAGTTAAGGATTACAATCAAAGTTCACTTGAGTGTGAAGAAAGATACAATCATCTTAACAGAACTGATCATAGTCTGCAAAGCATGCCAAAGCAGTGTTCAATGATTGGTAGAATAAGCCTGCTAGCCCTAGAATAAGTCAATTAGTATGACCATCTAGTTCATTGAAACAAATAATAACATGATATTGCACATTCTGCTTTCAATGAACATCCAAAGTTAGTTACCTGGACTAGCTGCGGACCAGCAAGTTTCAGAAAGGTTGCATTGGTTTGTGCAGCACATGCACGAGCCATCAACGTCTTTCCCGTCCCAGGTGGTCCATATAAGAGAACTCCTTTCGGGGGACGGATTCCCAACTTCTGAAATTGCTCCTTGTGTGTCATTGGCAACACTATAGCTTCAACAAGTTCCTGAATCTGCATTAGAAATTAGACAATACAAAATCAGAACATGAGGGAGCAAATATAAGCGAACAACTATCAACTAAAAATATTCTGAGGTAAGAAACTTAACATTGTACTACCTACAGAAAGATAACCTGGTAATCATCCTAGTAAATACCTCTTTCTCAAGGCCACCAATGTCATTATAATCCTCCGTAGGCTTTTCATCTACCTCCATTGCCTTTACTCGAGAGTCATACTCCGAAGGTAGCGTGTCTAATATCAAGTAGCTGTCCTTGTTGACTCCAACCAAATCACCAGGCTTGAGGTTATCAGGGTCAACTAGCCCGATCACAGGAAGGAATATAGTCTGCAATCAAGAATAGAAAATAAACGGAGAAGCCTTGAGCAGCACGTCCCAACTTTTTACAGCACACAAGTAAATTGATTCTCTAAAACAGCTAAGATTGCCCAACTAATGAGAATATGATATTCATCAAATGGTATGTGGAAATAAACCTTGTCAAGTTCCAAAAATCTAAATTAAAATAGCCCAGGCTCATAAATGAAAGGGTTAATATGGATACAGATAAATTGACCAGGTAAAATGCTGTACACAGGCAGCGACAGGAATATTGACGCTGCAAAGTACTAGGATGTGATGTCTGACATAATAAATTCGGCTATCTGTGATTGATGTACTCCCTCCGTTCCTAAATATTTGTCTTTCTAGATATTTCAACAAGTGACTACATACGGAGCAAAATGAGTGAATCTACACTCTAAAATATGTCTATATGCACCCGTATGTGGTAGTCCATTTGAAATCTCTAAAAGACAAATATTTAGGAACGGAGGGAGTATCATGGTACCAACTCCCAGGAGAACTTGGCATGGTTGACATGCTAAACTCAGTTAAAATAACAAATGTTGGTGTTTATAGCCTATAGGAGAGTTGTCAATCAAAATTAAAATCTACTTAAGAATCTTACTGCTTGTTTAGATGGAAAAGGTCCATAGTGTCAAAGATTACAACACCTGCTCTCGTACAAAACTACGTACTTAACTAGGCCCGTGAGACTTGATGCTTGTACTAACTTGAAACCAAATGAACTCATAATCTTATCACTTTCCTAATTATCCACCTCCTGAACTGCGCTGAGCTACACCACTAGCACTTAACTAACTTCTGTTGTACTACTCAGCTCTCCCAAATATAGGCAGAAACACTAAAATCGGAGTCAAACTGAATACACACAACTAATCAACCATGGAGTATCTTTCCTCTGTGAGTACACATTCCTATGGCATCAACCACCGGCATGCCTGGGCTACATCCATGACAGTTCATGCATATGCAGTTGGAGTAGAAGTATTAACGGATACTAGAGATGTATAAGCACCACAGCAAGTTCGAGCAAGTCTATTTACCTGTCTTGTGGATGTCTTAAGAACAACACATTTTCCTTTCCTCTGTGAGTCCAGATCTATATTAGCGCCATCCTCTTCAGCCTCATCTTCAGGGTTCATTTCCAATATCTGAAACAGTTGATAAATTACATTAGTAGATTTCCAAGTAAAAATGCATCTGAAGTCAACATATTTATCAGCAACCTGGCAGACTATAACCTTGAAAATATCAGTTCTGAGTTTAAGGAAAAGAAAAAATGAGTGCAGCAGTTTATCGTTGCCAGATAAGTTATCAGAAGCTAATGAACAACAGCACTGATACACACCAACTGATTCCAGATAGCTACCACATAGCAAGCAATACAGTTGCAATTGATTTACCTCCTCCTAGATAATCTCTACTCCTAAAGGTGCAGTCCGGTAGTCGTTCGTTCGTTGCCCGTCAATCGATACAAGACCCACCACATACGTGCCCCACTGATTTTATTCTCCTCCCACCAGGGATTTTCTTCCAAAACTAAGGGCCTCTTTGATTCAAAGGATTTTCATAGGATTTTTGAAGGGTAAGAATCCTTCGGAATTTTTCCTGCGTTGATCGTTTGATTCGCAGGATTGAAGCCCATAGGATTTTTTCCTATGGATTCATTTGAACTACATTTCATAGGAATTGTAGCATCCACTCCAACCTCTTGGAAGAAATCCTTTATTTTTCCTGTGATACAATCAAATAAACTCAAATCCTATAGGAATCCAATGGACATGTCATTTCAATCCTACGTTTTTCCTATTCTTGTGTTTTTGTAATCCCGCGAATCAAAGAGGCCCTAAAGCCCCATTGCCCCAAGTTTCCAACCCCACCCCCGGTTTATTCTCCACGCCCATCAATCACGCCGTTCACTGCTCCCATCCATCACGCATTCACGATCAGGACTGCCGATTCGTCTCCCTCAACCCATGGTCCCTGACGCCCGTCGCCCGCTAGGCTAATAGGTCAACCTCGCCGCTTTGGGGCCTCCAGGGCAGCATGCCGCGCCAGCTTGGCCGCCGCTGCCGCCGCTCCAATACTGCGGGCATCATAATCAGTACTGATCATCAAATCATTCACGCGGCCGTCGCGCCGTCAGACTATGGCATGTACAATTACGATGCAGCTACCTCTGCAGCTTGACGCCGCGGTCTAGACGACGCCAAGGTACTATATCTATCGCCTAATGGATAATCTGGGTTGGTCCATGTAGTAATCTGAACGTGTTCATTAAGAGCAGATATGAGGTGAGGTAGGACCTCCACCACCAGGTGAGGCAGGACCTACACAGGCAAATTGGCGTGTAACTATGCGTTTCTGTGAGGTCAAACATTTCCAGCAACTAAACTAGGGCATACAGTCACTGGCCCCTCATCAATCAGCACGCAGTGAAGCTCAAAACAAGAGCATGTGAAGTCAGACGCTACTCTGGGCTACTAATCTGGTTTGCACGAACTAATACTGGATCGGGGAATCGTGAATCCGGCATGAATGAACTCGGTACAGAAACCCATAATTTCCGCATCCACATCCAGATCGGGTAAATTCCCGGGGCAGGTGAGGCACGAACCTCGACGATGTTGCCGACGAGGTAGGGCAGCTGCTTGTTGAGCTTTATCTTCTCTTGGTTCTCCTTGATCTTGTCCTTGACGTTCTCGAGCTCCAGGTTGTTCCGCTGCAGCTCGTCCTGCACCCCCGCGAACAGACAAACCAGATCAGGCGACCCTGGACCGATGGGACGGGATAGCGGCTGCTAGGGTTCGGGGGAGGGGGGCCGTACCTTGAGGACGCGGACCTCGTTGTCGAGGAGGCGGGTGGCCCGGACGATGTCCTCCGTGGACATGGAGTCGAGCTGGTCGGTCTCCGACGAGTCGTCGACGGCCATCGCGGCGGCGCCGGCGTCTGGCGCGGGGGTAGGGGAGGACGACATGGCGCTCTGCTGCGGCCTGTGCGGGTCGGAAGGGGAGGGCCGGCGGAGATTTGTGGGAGGTTGCGGCTTGGGGAAGGAGTTGATGGTGATTCCCCTGACTTCGGCTTGAGCTTCAGGTATAGGTTGTCGGCCTGGGCCTTGGGCCTTTCCGCAGGAAATGCAGCCCAGTTGGATGTTTTGGGTCCGTGAGCCGGGGCCCGGAGTGGTGGCTTTTTGGTATATCCTTAACCACCCCCTAACCTTTTTGCAATTCCCGACTTCTGATTATATAATAGAAATGTACACCCCTGTGGTTTCAAGGGTAATAAATAAATAAATAATAGAAATATCGTAATCATCATCAATAGTAGCAATAGATATAGTTTCATCGTGCATAGCAATATTTTTATCAAGTGATTCCATGTTTGGAAAATTTAGCCACCCACTTATCATTAGAGGGACCATGACAGTCTTTTATCACAATGATCACTAAATTCGTCACTTAATTCTCCCATGCCACCTCCCTTGGTGTCTCCCTCCTTTGATCCTTTCTCTCGGCTTTGGCACCCCTGTCCCTCCTTCCTCGTCCTTCCTTCTTTCTCCTTCCCTCGTCGCATGTCCACCACTCCCATAGCTCCACTGTCGATCAGCTACCCACGTGTCTGGAACTTGATTCCCAAAAGAATATGGTGGATTGAACAAAAAAATTAAACATTACTTTTGTCCTATATTTGAAAACAAAGAAAAGGAAGTAGATTCAGTCGACACATATGGCTGGAGGTTGCAACTACACACAGTACCTATGCAGATGCTTAATCTAAACAACTGTGATTGTTCAAATGCAAACAAAAAAACAGAAACAACCATCGATCACCAACCAGAGAATAGGAAAACACCTACACTTTGATGAAATAGATATATGCATCGGCAAAAGAATAAGATGTCTAACAAAAGGATATGCGCATAGTCACCTCATACTTGCTGAGTTTGGAGAATTTGATGAATATCATGTCTCTCGAAATAGGCTTTCGCGCCGCTTTATAAATAAAGCAATGGATCATACAACGAACGTCCGAGCTTCAAATCATCAACGATGGTTGGAGCAATAGCACAATCATGCCCCAAAATAAGCACAAGATAAATAAGAAAAAAACGCCTAGTGGCTACCGCTAAGCGGCCCTACAAAGATGATAGTCGATGCGTTGTGGCCAGTAGCGTATCCAGCATGAGTCCAAGTCGATCGCGGTCGCGCTGCCTAGAGAGCGGGTGCTAGTGTTGCGGAAAAGCAAGGAATTTGAAGGAGTCAGATGCCTGCCGCGGAAAGACCCGCTCAATCACCATTTTATTATGTGTCCTTCATAGAGTCCAGAACATCGCAACAAAGATAAGCCAGAAATAGGTGACGATGTCGCCCAGGTCGGGTAGCCCTGGTCTAGAGGAACTCCGCGAGGTCCGAGCATCCCCTTTTAATAGTACTGGTTTTCCTATGTACTCAATGTGAGCTTTGATCACTTAAGCAAAATAATGTAGAGTCTTGGAGCTTTTGCCAATGTTTGTCCTTTGCATTTTGAGGGGTCGACGTTCACATCCCATTGCCATGCCTAGATTGAACTTTTCTGAAATATTATTTGAGTAGGCATTAGTTCAATGGTGATTATGTTGTTATTAATTACCAAAACCATCCGAGAATTAGTTGCACTTTCACCCTTTCCACCCTGCTGGACAATTCTTCCATGTCCAGTGCATACAGTCAAGTGATCTAAGCATCCATGGCCATCCTCTTGCTTCACTTTCTGTCGTCAACCTTTGGGCATCTTCCTTGTTGGGTGCTGTTGGTGTCAAAACCGGTGGATCTCGGGTAGGGGGTCCCAAACTATGCGTCTAGGCCGGATGGTAACAGGAGGCGAGGGACACGAAGTTTTACCCAGGTTCGGGCCCTCTCGATGGAGGTAAAACCCTACATCCTACTTGATTAATATTGATGATATGGGTAGTACAAGAGTAGATCTATCACGAGATCAGAGAGGCTAAACCCTAGAAGGTAGCCTATGGTATGATTGTGTATGTTGTCCTACGGACTAAAACTCTCCGGTTTATATAGACACCGGAGAGGGTTAGGGTTACACAAAGTCGGTTACAATGGTAGGAGATCTGCATATCCGTATTGCCAAGCTTGCCTTCCACGCCAAGGAAAGTCTCTCCCGGACACGGGACGAAATCGTGTATCTTCATAGTCCAGGAGTCTGGCGGTATAGTCCGGCCATCCAGACACCCCCTAATCCAGGACTCCCTCAGTAGCCCCTAAACCAGGCTTCAATGACGACGAGTCCGGCGTGCAGATTGTCTTCGGCATTGCAAGGCGGGCTCCTCCTCCAAGTACTTCATAGAAGATTTTGAACACAAAGATAGTGTCCGGCTCTGCAAAATAAGTTTCCACATATTGTCATAGAGAGAATAATATTTACACAAATCTAATCTGCTGACGTATTCCGTAATGTGACACACCACGGCCAAGCCTTTATCCGAGTCATTTCATTATCCCACCTCAGTTCGTCATGCGAGGTGGTTTCCTTGGCACGTCTTGTTAAAGCAGAGATCATGTCCCCTTATTCCGGGATTCTCATTAATGCGGGCGTGGGTAACCCAGCCGCTTCTAGGACTCCTAGATCATAGGCAAGTCCAAACGGACACGGAGAGGACGCTTGATATTCACCCTCTTTATAAAGGGGACAAGGCTTTTATTTTTCCCTCCCGTGCTCAATCGAATCCTTCCCCCACCTCAAGCTCAAACGCCCGAAGTTCAGGTCAGGTGCTCCGAACCTTCAGTCATGTCCGGATCTAGCCTTCAAGGCCAATGGGTGCCTTCCTCCATCACGGAAGAAGACATCAAAAAGTTGAGGGAGGCCAGATATTTGACCGCCGAGATTTTGCATCGGCTGCCTCCCCGAGGGCAGGCCGTTCCCACCCCCGAACCCAACGAGAACGTCGTGTTCGTCTCCCACTTCCTCCGAGGTCTAGGCCTTGCTCTGGATCCTTTCGTCAGGGGTCTGATGTTTTATTACGGGCTAGACTTCCATGATCTAGCTCCGGACTCTTTTCTTCATATCACGACATTTATTGTCGTGTGCGAGGCCTTCCTCCGGGTTACCCCTCACTTTGGCCTATGGCTCAAGACCTTTGAAGTGAAGCCGAAGACGATCGAGGGGCAACATGCAGCGTGTGGAGGTGCCTCAATACGCAAGATGGCAGGAGCTCTATGGCCCAAAGTTCCATCCCAGAGGTGTCTGAATTGTGGCAACAGGAGTGGTTCTACATCACGGCTCCTAGAAGTGCCAAGTGGGTGGCCGCCCCTGTTTTCCGCTCGGGCCCTCCACCACAACTGATGTCATGGATCAACAGAGGTCTGAGCTGGGGTCCAGCCAAGGACGTGCCTATACTGCAAAGCCACATTCGCGATCTCATCAATGGAGATTTTAGTTTGGTTGCGGTAATACAAGTTATGCTGGTTCGTCAAGTCCAGCCTTGCAAACGCCGGCCTCTTCGCCTATGGGAGTTCAATCCCGAGGGACCGCGTGTCATTCAAAATTTTCTCGGCCTGGCGCACAAGGAGATGTACAAGTCATTCTTCGGACCTCAGGTGGAGTGTCCGGAAATCACCGAGGACGTGGGCCTGAGTAGTAACCGCGCCGCCGAACAGGTAAGGCACCTTCCGGCCGAACATACTATCTCTCCTTTGTTACGGAGTTATTTCTGAGAGTTCGCTTTTTGACCAGGACTGGCTAACAAAGGCGAAGTTGATTCGGTGTTCGGCCCCCCTCCCTGAGGGTTTGGAAAATCCGGTATTGGAAAAGATGCTCCAGACCGCACCTTGCCCGGAGCCCTTGAAGGAAGATAATGTGGAGGATAATGCGGGCGGACGCGGGCCCCCAACGCTGCCCATTCTAGCCGAGGGAGCGAGCGTCTCCATGAAGGAAGACGACCAGAAGAGGAAAAGGACTGCGCCCGGGGATTCGGAAGCCGAAGCTTCCAAACGGGAGAAGAAGTCTCCCACAGAGGGTCCTACCTTGGGGGGCGCCATTGCCGCACAAAGTCCGCGGGGGGATCAATTCTCCCGCGAGTCGTAAGTGACCCGAAATACTTTAATAGTACAGGTATGCCATCTTTTTCTTCTAAGAAGATAACCACCGCATATATTTTTGTAGTTCGGGCCTTAGCCCCTCTCAAATGAGCTTGTCTTCGGGGGATCTTCTTCCAGAGATGATGGAGAGCGAAACGCCTCCTCCGGACTCCTCCGCTCCGGAAGCGGGCGACCCTGAAGTGTCGTCGCGGAGGGCCTCTCCGAGTCTGGTGAGGCCAGAAGATAATCCCATTGACCCTCGAAGCTCCCAGTGTCCGGCTCTCGAAGAGAGCAGACAAAAGAGTCCGGCACCGTCTAGTGTGCGATCGGATGTTCTGAGGGAGTTGGTGGGGCGAGCGGCCATCTCAGATGAACACCGTGTGCTGATGAATACGGTGATGGAGAGAATATCATCCGCCGAAAGCGGGTTGCATGAAGATTTTATGAGTCTACTGACAGGCTTTGAGGTACGTAAAAGAATGTATGATAGTCCTGCACATGCTAGGTGTGCCCTGTGTAGATAGTAGCCCCTGAGACTCTGGTTGTCGTCGGAAACGACGACGAACAGAGGATCATATTCCCAGGTAATAACCATACTGCCTCTATGTGCAGATGATGGAAGCTCCGGTGGCTAGCTGGACTAGCGAGTTTGCCCATTTAGAACGGCAGTTGGATGCGGCAGACGCCGACATTGAGCTTGTTAACAAAAGGCTTGACAAGGCACAGGGTAAGTGTCATTATCTGGTAAACGCCACAATAGGAAGAGCAGTATGATGCCAGCATCTTTAATATGTTGTGACTGCAGATGGAGCTACCA